ATATTTAGTTAGTCGTAAAAGAAAATTTCATTTCAAAGTCTCATTTAATTCAACAATCATTAACATAACAATGTATCAGTATGAATGAAAATGAAATTTTAATCATATAGCTAAAATGTATACTGGGTAAATGATATCATGATTTTACATCACCAGTTTGTAAGGATAGGAGAATGATTTCTATCATTATGTAACATAAAATTTTGCGCTCGCACTAGTTATTGTAGGTAAAATTTAACAAAACATTGAATGAAGATCTCTTTTTAGATTATAATGAGAATGACTTTTTAAGAAGTGATAGTAATACTGCCTGCATATAGTGTGATTTAAAAACACATTGTATTCCATATTGTACATCCTCCATTTGTCTGAAAATTTAGAAAAGCGAATTATTAATCAACGAATAATACTGCAATGAACATTAAGTTTTACCAAATACGATTTATAACGTTGAAATTTAAATACTGGCCTTAAACGAACGATATGTATTGTGATGCGTACGACATGAAGCACTTCAAACTGTAAGCTTCTTTGGGGTGATGGTATGACTACGCGTACTAGATTTTCTGCATTTTAATTGTCTTATGACTGTACTACTTATGATTGAAATTTACTATCTGCGATTTGTGACAGAAATAGTTTCTTAAATACTACGTTAGTTCCAAGAAATATTCGTTTTGCCATAGGCTAAAATTTCTCCTGCATAATTCCATCTATACAACTTTTTATATATCCAACAAAATAAATCTCATAAAGTCAGTCAAACAATCACAGTCGTACACTGAAATGAAACATCAGTGAATAGTTGCGAGGTATATCAACTTTACATTTCTCGCGGTGTCAATCGCATCACAATATACAATAAATATGTGTTATATAATTTTATTTTAGGCATATAATTTTATTTTTGTATCATTCATTTCTGTATCACAAAGTAAAACATCAACCATACGGAATTTTGATTGATGTTCGATCAATATTTTTAATATATGCGGCGATTGTTAATATTTTGTTAAACCAAAAATTAAAAAATATACAGTTTATTGTCTTTCAATTATTAATTAACTCGAAAAGATTTTTATTCAATATCTTTATAAATATTGAATATATTAGTTGTAACTATCACTACTGGGGACAGAGAAAGGTACAATGCAGGTATTTTAAATAGTGGCAGCTCAACATTAATTGGATTTAGTACTCATGTGTTAGACAATTTTATGATGTTGAAGTATTAATGAATGTATTATAAATTGTGTGCATTTACAATAAGCTATAATGATATGCAGGACCTGTGATTGTATAAATGTGTTTGTTGGATGCAATTGAAACAATTCATTTTAACAAATTCGTCTTTAGCAAATGAGATATTATACTGTGTATAAGTATGAAATTAATTATGTGCGATTATTTTCAAGATCAATTACTAAAATTTATATTTGATTCGAAAACTGAATTAAATTTAAATTTTTAGTGTACAGTAGTCACCCCCATATCCGCGTGGAAGATGTTCTAGGCCCTACCGCGCGGATAAAACTAATATTATAATCCATGTAAACCATAATATTTGTGTAATATTTATAAACAAAGCAAAATCAAATTGCAAAAATACAATACGGTAATAATAAAGTATACTGTACACTGTACACTATATCGTACATTTTCAGTGTACTTTGTTTCGGTCTCTATTTCTCCCTCTCTTTTTTTTACCCAAATAAAGAATTATTATATGTATTATGTGTAACTTCAGGGACCATTTCAAAATTTATTGACTGTTTATTTTATTAATCTTTTAAATTTCTCGGATCGCGGGTACGGGGATCTGACTGATCTTAAAAAATAAAAGTTCGTCATTGTGTTTACAGCTGTGTTAGTATGCTAAATTTATTAATGCGAAAATAATGCAAGTGCATTTTTAATATTTAGGATAGGACATTTTAATGGATTGAAAAGATGTTGGCATATAAACAATAAGTATCTGGAGTATCAACATTACAATGAATATATGATAACAGAATATACTCTGTGTACTTATATATTGACGGATTATAAATTGTTGTCATATACTCAACGTCATTTCATTATATAATAAGTAAAAATGTGTGTTGTATCTACAAAATCGNAAAATCGTGAATAGACTGTATAAATATGTATGTGATCGTGCATAATGAATGAGTACATTGAACATATTTCACCATTAACTACCACATGTACTTCTAGCGTAAATACTACAAGA